TAATTAACGCGATAAGAACGTGGCTTGCTTTGACTAATAAAATCAACTACTCAGACAAATGTCTCGCTAAGTGATATCATGATCATATGATATCATCTAAAACGTTGACCTCTCAGGCAAAGAAAATAAAAACTTTACAAGGAAAAAGATGCCTATAAAATCATTAAATTCGCCTTTCTGTTATTGATAAACAAAGTTTCTTCTTGTTCTAATTTGAAATCTTTGCCCCCACAAGACTGTCTAAGACTAGGAAGGATATTGATTCAGTTTTGTAAGCATACAACTCGAAACTCTATGCGATCTGCACATGCGCGTACTTCTAATGCCTAGACAGATGCATTCCGATGTGATCACAGATACCACATTTGTAAACGAATAGTTTTTTTTGTCATATAAAAGGCAAGTAGCTTATAACATTTACTAACGATATTCGTACATCAATACGCTTGAGCTTCCGGTCATGTAATAACACAGCCAACCCAATAGTTAATTATTAAATTCTTAACTTCCGGTGGTCCAAACGCGACATAATACATAGATAGATAGACTAAAAGGTAAATTTATAGTCGGACACGCCTTCGGCTACTCCGACTAATAATCACTTCTTAGTTCTCTTGATTGTTGAACTTTTATCTTGATGCTCGCGCCCATTTATTGAACTGCTCTATAGTATATATAGTATAGTATATATAGAGTTTGCTGAAGAAGGCCGAAGTGCCGAAACGTTCGAATAAAGAGTAGAAATACTAGTTGCAAKTTGTGTGCCTTTTTCTTCAATTTCTTCAATTTATAGTATAGTATATATATATACGACTGACGGATGTAGACATGATTTCACTACTGTCGTTATATAACTACTCTACTTACATTCCATCTCCAAAGGGTCCTTCACTATTGACAACATACTCTGCGGATTCTTCCTCACTTCCATATAAGGTTAAATAGATATCAGTTCCGGTCCAGGCCCCGAACGCGTCTTCAGTAAACAAATACACTTTGTACGTTCCTACAACCAATACAATAAGGACATGTGAAATCTTCATTTGCTGTTAGTTAGTAAATTGTGCTGTGTTTCATAAAGGTCTCTACTGTATGTCAGCCATATTGGTTGTAATTTAGAAAAACATGGCCGCCGATATCTTGTCTTTTGAATTCCACAAGATTCTCTCAAAATAAAAGAGTTTATTTATTTATTTATTTTATTAGTTTAAAACATCAATTAACTGCCTACTCATTTCTCTTTCTTGTTGTCTCTTCATCTCAGCGTCTTGTCGTTTTTTTTCTTCGTCTTTTCGTTTTTGCTCCGCCGCTTGTCTTTTTCGTTCTTCTTCTTGACGTCTTTTTTCTGCTTCTTGTCGTTTCTTTTCCTCTTCTTGACGATTTCTTTCCGCCTGCTGTCTTTTCTTTTCTTCATCCTGTCTTTGCTGCTCTTCCTGTTTTCTCCTTTGTTCTTCGTCTTCTTTTGCTTTTCCTTCTCTGTCTATTTAGTGACAAATGTTTCGCAAAAAATTACTTGTTTGAGTGAGGAGTTAGTTGGTATGTTTTCAGTATGTAACCAACCTACCTTCCTATCTACCCATCTACCATCATATTAACCAACAACCAACCCACCAGCCTACCTACATATCTACCCAACACCTACTTTCTAACCTACCTAACTATCTACCTACCTCTTCTACTAGACTACTTGCCTACATACCTACCACCAACATGTTAACCAATAACCAACCTACCTACCTCTACCCACCTACATGCCCACCTATCCAACCACCTACCCACCTACCTATACCTACCTACCTACCTGCACCTACCGGTAGCTATAGGTAGGTAGGTAGGTAGGTGGTTGGATATGTGGGCAGGTGGTAGGGTGGTGGGTGTGTAGGTTAGTAGTCTGTAGGAGGGTAGGTGGTGGGGATTCAGTTAGATAGGTAGGTARGTTAGGAAGTATGTGGTGGGTTGGTRGGTATATTTAGATAGGTTAGGAAGTAGGTGGCGGGKAAATAGGTATGGTTAGGTGGACTTACCYCTTATCTTGAAGTCGTTTTTATCAGCGAATATTTCGCCTCCTTTTAACCATCTGCCACAAGGAAACACAACGGTATGACCATTGACCGTGTCTCTTACAGTTATCTAGACATAAATATTGCTAAAATGATGGCTTATAACAAATGAAATAGATTGATATAACCGATACATAAAAAAGTATAGATAAACAAGCAAATAAATGATCAAATAATAAATATTTTTCTCAGGAGTTAAGTTACAGTAAAATTTGCAGAAAGTAATAATCTTTGTTAAGCGCATGACTATCGCATACGAGGCGTAGGCGAGTTAACCGATAATAACAATATTATAATAATGTACCTTGTTGAGATACCAGCCTGGTAACCAGCCCTTGTTGTCATGACTAACGTGAATCTTCTTCAGGGTACCCAGRGGGAATTTYGTCTTGATATCGTATGTGTCCAACCTGAAGCAAGCCAACAAAATCAGGAACAAAAAGTGATTTATGTGTCAGATCAGTATTCGTCCGCAACTAGCAAAGAAAAGTTTCCGTGAGAATTTTCAGTMAGATTTTTTTTATATATTTTCAATTTTTGATGCTTCCACTCTGTACCAGGGAAATATAAGGTTAGACACGTGATCCAAATGGCATATGCTGATTGGATGTCAGGCTTGTAATAACATAATGACGTGGCATTTTATGACTGAGACCCTTTACTTTTCACTTATTGACGAAAGGCTGATCTCTCTTATGAAGCAACAAGTAACTGAAACATGGCAACTTACATTCCTGCTTCAAAAGTTGTGGTCCCTTGGTTAACAAACTTAAACTGTCCACTGTCCCCTYTCGTTCCAAATAATGTAGCATAGATATTTGAATCTGTGCCAGCAAACCATTTTTCTCCCGTGTAGAAATAAATTCTGTAGAGAAACTCTGGAAGGAAAGAGAAAAGCTTAATAAGCTCAAGAGAAAAACTGATATCTTTCATAGTTTTCATACCATTTGGTTGGAGTTCTAGGTCCCGATCTTCTTTCTTTCGTTGATCATCCTCTTGCTTCCTGCGTTTGTCTTCTTCTCTTCTTCGCTGTTCTTCTTTGTCCCTTAGTTCTTTTTCCTCTTCTCTTAGCTTATCTTCGTCTTTTCTACGTTTATCTTCCTCATCTCTGACTTTGTCCTCTTCACGCCTGCGTTTTTCTTCTTCTTTTCTACGTTGTTCCTCTTCTTCTTCATCATCTTCTTCGTTTCTGTGTTTGGCTTTTTCCTTTCTACGAGACTCCTCTCTCTTCCTTTGGTTCTCCTCCTCTTCTCTCCGGTTCTCCTCCTTTTTCCTTCGMTTTTCCTCTCCTTCCCTTCGTCTTTCTTCGTCTTTTCTTCGGTTTTCTTCTTTTCTACGGCGGTTTTCCTCTTCTYTCCTACATTTTTCCTCATTTCTTCTGCGCTCTTCATTCTTTATCAAAAGTTTAAGTTTTTCTCTGTGCTTTTCCTCTTCTCTCAAGAGTATATCCTCTTGGTTTCTTTCGTTCCTCTCTTCTTCCTTTTCTTCGTCCTTCCCCTTTCTTTTCCAAACATCTTCTTCTTTTTGTCTCTTAACYTTTCTTTCTTCTTCTTTCTTGAGTATTTCTTTTTCTTTTCGCTCTATTTCCTCTTCTCTTCGCTTTTTTTCTTCGGATTCACTTCTTTTTCTTTCTCTCTCGGTTTGAACATCGATTTCACCAAGAATTTCCCGACTTCTTCTCTTTTCCCTTTCCTCACGTTTCTTTCTATTCTCTTCTATCCTTCTTTTTCTTTCTTCCTCTTTTTTCTTTTTGTCATTTTCGAACTTTTCGATTTGTTCTTGCTCTCTTCTCTTTCTTTCTTCTTCTTCTCTCATTCTTCTCTCTTCCTCTTCCCTTCTTTTCCTGTCTTCCTCTTCTTGCTCTTTCATTTCCCGAATTTTGGCTTCTTTGTCTATAAAACAACAGAYAGAAGCGAGAAATAAATTACCTACTAAGGGTTATTCTAATCGAGCGCCAATCGAGGAATTTTGTTTTCTTTTTGAGAAAATTTGATTTTAATATATAAATGAAACACTTATCGTGCTGCAAGAATCGCAAGTGTAAACAGGCCTTTAGAGTGCTTTATAGATCGCGACCACCATCGAAGCATGAGATTTCGGCCCCATATTTTGTGAGAAATTGTTCACTTTTATCTATACTTTACCTCTTATTTCAAAGTCGTCCCCTATGAGTTGTCTTTCTATCATTCCGTCGTCTTCATCGACAGAAAGCCAGCGGCCACACGGGAACACAACTTTTTGATCATTAAGAACGTCGACCACGGTGATCTAATGAACCATCCAATAAATCATTTCAATGAAATATTATTTCCCTTCTGTTCATTTCGAAACTCTATAGAGACGACGTCGGGTGTTACCCGGGGATCTATTTTGGGCCCACCTTGATGGCATTATCGAAACTTCAAATGTAATTAAACGACAATCGGACTACTCTCGTACCATACTCGGTTGATACTTGGACTACATTCGGAAARMACTCGGACTTCACTCGGATAGCRCACGCACAACAACTATTTTCACAAAAGAGTATATTACCTTATCGAGAAACCAGCCTGGACCAAATCCCGTATTATCGTGACCAACACGAACTTTAGTCAGGGTACCCAGAGGAAGTCTCTTCTCAATATCATACGTGTCTATCCTTTTGAATATAGAAAACGAGTCGAGTGGTGAGCAAAAGAAATCAGTACTGTGCCTAGTGAGGAATGGCAATGTTATTTGTATAGAACCCTTGCAGTTCGTGGGAATGCAATTCCAACTGGAGGACAAATGAATAGATTCTAGTTCCCAAGAGGGCAAAAATCTTTTGTTTTGTCCTCCAGACGAAGCTGCTTTGACGTCACATGCAAGGGGTCTATACTGCAAAACTTACATGCCATTTTCAAACGTTGTATTCCCTTGGTTGTCAATCTTAATCTCCCCACTGTCGCCTTTTGTGCCAAACAATGTGATAAAGACATTTGCATCGGTTCCAGCCAAGCTCACTTCACCAGTGTGGAAAAATATTTTATAAAGGTATGCTGACGACAAATTGTAAACTGCAAATTAGGACTAGTGGAAAAGTCAAACTTTTGGTGGACTCAACTACTGAATGGGCTTTTTATTTATGATGTCACGTGTGTTTTGGCGAAGTGCATCATGGTAGTGATACACTGAATATCAAGATGGCGGATGTATTAAAAAATGACGGCTGCCAATGAAGAGCTGTATTTAACAAATTGCACACGTTTTTTCGTTGAATGTCCTCTAATTGACACACTCTTGACGTCATAAAATGTTCAACTCAAGATGACCTACGAGCCCAGCGAGTYGGTTCATCTCAATTTTACCACATTTAAGTCTAAAAATAAGCGAGAATCATTTTCCTTCAATTGAACGAGCGCTAGACGTGATGGTGTAAGCACAGTGTGCATGTCCTCTTATTGACACACTCTTATCAGCCAATCAGCGCACGAGAATTTGCACAAGTGTGGTCATACTAACTTTTCGCCTTGAAGTCTCCTGATGGGTGCAATTCACGCTGGATCTTTCCATCTCCGCTTTCCAAATCAAACCATTGGTAGCAATCAAACTCGATCCCTTTTCCTGTCATATCATCTTCGATTTCAATCTACAATGAGAACATAATGGGGTGAGACTGACGACCACCTGCGACAAACGCTTAAAGGTGTATCATMAACCGGCATCCCTTGCGACCTTCTGCTTATTTTTTGGAAATGAAAATACAACACAACATAAACAAAAACTTACTCCTTTTTATCTCTTTATGCTCTATAATAGAGTTATGGTAAGATTCAATTCAAAACGAAAGATGGAAACGGATTGCGAATGGATATTTGAAGTCACCCCATTTTCCATATAAGGACAATGAACGACCGCATTGAATGCCGGTTGATTATATCCCTTTGATCAAAAGATTGTATACCTTGACAAGCTTCCAGCCAGGAAGATGACCTGTATTATCGTGACCAACACGAACTTTAGTTAGGGTTCCCAATGATACCTCTGTATCAACAGTGAATGTGTCCTTCCTGGAATAAAACCGTACGCGTTACGCTGTGTAAAAACGTAAACGCAGCTTACGTAGACGCCTTGTAGGCAGTTCACGTAAGCGCTTCGTACGCAGTGACGTAAATGCCTAGTTGGACGTATACAAGTATGCCTAGTACGCAGTGCAAAGTGTGCGCAAACGCCTTGTATGTACTGTACGTAAACTCTTCGTAGGCAGATCACGTAAGCACATCGTACGCAGTGACGTAAATGCCTAGTTAACAGCATGGAAGTATGTCTAGTATACGCACTGCAGAGTGTGCGCAAACGCCTCAGACGCAGTATAGAACGTACGTAAACGTCTCGTACTTACGTGCCACTTTTRAAAGTCGTTTTCAAGTCGTTTTTGAATATTTGTTCTTGTGATTCGSCCTCTGTTCCATAGAGTGTGAGGTTTACGTTCGCGTTTGTACCCGCCCAGGAAAGGGAACTTGTGTACATACGGATCGTATAGGTGTACATGGTGGCTAGAAATGTACAGAAAAACGTTACTTTTATTGGAGTCTTAAATCCGTGAAACGAATTATACTAAAGACAACTCAATAAATCGTGAATAAACTGGTGTTCATAAGCCTGTGACATAATTCACTTTAAGTACTTTAGAGTACATATCTTTATTATGCGCGTTTTTCTTTGTCTTCTCGGCGAATTATATTCTATTAAACTGTATTCCACGGTTTATAGAGATCATCATCGCTTACGAATGAATGGGTGAAAAGGAAAAATGAATGGTTGAATACCGCTAGAGAAAAACTTATTAATAACCGTGGGTGTATCAAGTGAAGCTTGCTTAGACATAAAACAAGAAGTCTTTGTTATTAGATGTATCCTGAATTTTTTTTAATTCTCATCATATTTTTGCGGTAATTGCAAACGAACCAGAATAWCATGTTAAGGAATAAAAGTTACAGAAAGTTCTAGAAAATTGCAAGCTTTCGGAGTATGCATATAAAATGATCCRACGCCAACGCGTTTCATTTAAGARTTTAATAGTTTRAATTAAGTGAATTGCTTCCCAAGATGAACGAAAACTAAAAAAGTGGTAAACACTGATGGTACTTTTGTAGAAGTTTTTTTGTTCTTTTAAAACCTTCACAATTGAGCAAAACTTTTGCATAGATGTTGTTTACAAGACGTAGAGAAGAGGAACACTCCGACTCTTGCACATCAGTGAAGTGACGGCACAAAACCTTTCGAWAAATTAATAATAAAAACACTTATTGCTGGTAGTTGACTTAAAATGAACTGTTTTCTTTTGTCCTTACCGTCTAACATAGACTAAATATTTGTTTTCGTTTCGCAGCGACAATGAATTCAATCTAACTATTTGCAAAACAAATTTCAAACTTACCTTAGCTATCAAATTAAGGGTTATCAAAAGACAAAGACTGGTCACAAAAAACACCCGACAGCAGAACTTAGCTCAGTCTAAAGTTAAGATCAACATAYAACATTGAAAATAACCAAGTGCTCACATAAAAACAGCTCATTCACCTGTGCGCTCAAGCAGACTGATAGCTTCAARATGCCATGCGTCAATTTAGCACTCCTGATATTGATTCTTCAAAACATTATCAAAGTATCCACAAAATRTGTCTCAATTCAGACTTCAYATTATGAAGAGGCACAGGCAAGGACGTGATATAAGAGACAAAAGCTTTACTGGATCAATTGTTTTCATAAGTCATTTGTATTTGTTTACAACCATAGAGAAGTTTCTACCAAGCCCTATTGAAAACCATCAAACATGCAAGCTTCAATGAGTTTCTGAGCTTTTGCCTCGAGGCCATCAGATTAAAATTCAAAAATAGTATGCAAAAACACGTTTTTTTATCTAAAGCATGACAGTTAGTACCGCTATGAATTAACATTAAGGTGGCCAACTGCTTTTTTTCATTCGGATTTACCTTAAAAACTTTCTTCAATAATCTTAACAATCTTAATAATCTCAATAATCTTAATAATCTTGTTTGGAAACAAGCCTTCTGATTTAAAATTCTTCATTAATTGACTTTTCTCTGCAATTTACCGATGTACAAATCGTTAGTTGAATATGTTTTGTCGAATTTGTGGCATTAATCCCATTAAATTCATATTGAGTGATCAAGGCCGTTCTATCCCGTGTTTTGATGTCCTTAATTAAGAATTAAAGTGTCCTCTAATGGCGTCGCGTCGGCAAGATGCAACATGGAATTGACAAAAGTACAGTACAAATGGACGATGCTGTTGTTGTTGTTGTTTTTCCTTCATGTCTTCGGTGTTTCAGGCTGTTTTTCAAACAGCAATGAAAACGTTATTTCCCTAAGATACGCTAGTGTGTAAAAATCTCATTTAATGCTCTTTCAACGGATTTTTTTACATTTTTGTTACAATATAAATTACATGTGCATCTTTGTGTATTGTTTCAACAAGTTTAGTGAAATAGTTGAACAAGCTGTGCTGTGGTCTCAAGAAGTCGAATTGATAATTTCTCTAAAATACAAGTAATGAAGAAAAAATGAATGATATGAACACATTATTGTGTTTTGAGAGGATTTTATTTGACTGCAGTCTTATAAGAGAGGTTTTTTGACGACAGATAACCTTAAATTTTGCTTGGAAACATTTTGTAAGATATCCGCCATTTTGATACTCTGGCCAATACCATGATGCACTTCGCCAAAACAGGCATGACGTCACTGGCGGAAACTGGCATTCCATTAAGAAAATCAAACAAAATTTAATTTGATTTAATTAATAGAAAGGCTTTTTTAACAAAAATGSTACAAAGCAATTAAAACTAATGCGCTTTCATTATTTTAAAGACAGACTTGTCTTCGACTTCAAAATTCTCATTTAGATTCCGTTCAATACAATCGGCTTCCGGTCTTGTGCACTTCCGTTTTGTGTGTCCAACTTCCGTTCTCTTATACTTCCGTCTTTAATGGTGTCTTTGTGTTGCGTGACAAAATCTTTAAAGAACTCCAATTGTTTTATGGGAGCATTTGTGAGGTAGTCGGCTTTGACGACTGGTGGGATCCARCCTCCCAGCTCGACCTGGGATACTACAGTGACGCTGGCAGAGTTGGACTCATTCTCTAARTCATGAATAATGATGCCTGACTTGAAAGTCTTCGCTCTACAACGAGAATGATATAGTAATTCGATCAGAAAAGAAACATTTTSCTACTAAATCATTTAGAGCGGAGAGAGGCTCTAAACTTATGAAATCTTATCGAACAGCTAAAGTTCCATCATCAGCCGGCATGCAATGCGGTCATCGAAGSGAGACAACCGTTGAGTGTGCAATGATAGAAACATGTGAATAATTGTCTGTAGGTGTGAAAGACGGTTTCTATCATTGCACGCTCAACGGTCGTCTCGCTTCGATGCAAAGGCACGGCTACTTTTCAAGATGGCGCATGGAACCGTTAAGAAGACTATTTTGGTTATATGATTATAACTATTACAACGATGGTGACGACGTTCTTACCTTATTTTTTTGTTATCAATCAAAGCCCTTGGATGAAGTGTGTTGCACATAGTCTGCATGTAACACCGATCGTCAGAATAATCGAGGCAAGCAAGTACAACCTCTCGGCTGGTCACTAACAGAGGCATCTTCAGAGAGCTGGCAACGATAATACAATGAGAAGCAATGTTATCGTCCAAATACTAGTTATTCATAATGTTCCAACATGATTATCAGATAGAACAGGCAAAGAAGTTTTGGTGTTAATAATTTGTCTATTTTGGCTATTAAAATCAAAATTAATATAAAACAATTTCTTAGAGAAGCTCAAAAACCCTTAGTCTCCTTTGCAGCCGATTATCAGTGTCGGCCCCAGATCACTTGGAGATTGAATAATATTCATAATAATTTTGGTGAAATACTTCTTAAGGCATAAGATAACTTTATTCCAAACGTTTCGCCTTTTCAGGCTTCATCAGTGGATACAACTAGAATGGCTTAGTTTGAATAAATTACAAAAATAAGTTATGCGAAATGGTTTGGAATAAAGTTATCTTTATGCCTTAAGAAGTATTTCACCAAAATTATTATTATTACACAAGGCAACAAACAACTACATCTCKGAATAATATTCATTTTTGTCGCGGTATACGTTAGGAAATAGATGGAATTAGATGATAAGTTAATCCAAATAGTCCAGAATGACATACCATTTAACAAGAGTAAAATCTCCAATCTTTTCCAAGACGTTAACATTAGTAAGTGTTTTGTCCCACCTAAACCTTTTGTCCCAATCTGTAAAATTCTTGATCGCTGAAATATATAATTTTAAAAGAAATTCTAAGAAAACAATGCATGTGTTCGCGTCTACTTTTTAGATTATTTTCCGTAGCGTTTTTGCATTGATCTCGAACCTTAATAGATATGTAAAATGCAAAAAAACCCCGCAAAATTGACGGATCAACGATGAATTGACGTTGCAACAATGCGATTCCGTATATTTTTCGATATCATTCCTTGAGGACAAAAAGAAATAGGAAAACCTTACGTTTCAGTAGGAGAACAGTCCTAATCACAGACGATCACACATGTACTCATACAAACGCGGCAATTTCATTCTAACTGGGCATTTATTTAGCAGACAATGATAGTTTGATCGCGATACCTGTTTGATAAGGGCAAGGGACGTCATCGAGCCTCAACACGGCCTATTAAAGAATAAAAATGAAATAAGTATATGTAGAAAGGCTTTACGTTTTTCTCGATGAGTACGTTACGCTTACGTTTCGCTGATAAGCACGTAATGACTACCTACGTTTACCGACCTTGATTATAGGAGGTGTGTTTGGTAGATTAGCGCTTCGACTTCGTACGTCGACATCCTTGGTGTGTTTGGCTGTTGRCCAATCGTTGCACTCGTCTTTGTCTAATGCCATGACGTCATTCTTTGCGTCCACGAATACAGAGAAATGATCGTGRAGGATGTGTGCTGTTGACGAGAAGTAAGGGAAAATGACCTGCGGAAATAATGACTTCTGGAAGAAAATATGAAGTTTGTGACAGCATAAATAATGAAGGGAATGGGAAGGAAAGAATGGATGAAAAAAATGGATGGATGATACTCGGTGAGCGTTAAATGAAAGAGAAATGGTTGGATGAATGAATAATTGGATGAATTTATAGATGGATGAGGAGGGTGAACGGTGGTGGTAGTGGTAGTGGATTCCCTCACCTTGTTTATCGTTAATAAAACAGCAATCACAGATAAAAACCACAGTCTCGTTGAACTGATGGTCGACAACCATTACCTTTRATAGGGAGGAAGCAATCACTCACTCATACAAAGCAATCAATCAACCAACCAACCAATCGGTTAAGCAGTCAGGCAGTCGGTCATTCAAGCAATGAAAATTTGGTTGGATTGAAAATCGGTGAAGATTAATGACTTACCAAGATCCAAGGAGATGCTCCTTCATTTCTGTCTAATCCAATCCTGATTTTCTCCAATTGGCCGAGATCCTTAGATAATTTGATTTCCATCGTGCCTCTCCTGCATAACAACATCAGAATTTTTAACGAATCAACAAATCAATGTGGAAACAAAGCGAAACAACGAATACCCGAAACAACGAAATACAAAAGAACCAAGCAGAAAATCGACGAAACAAATAGTCATGATGAGGGTTCGGGTTTGATGGATGAGTGAAAATCAAAGAAACAGCGAAACAACGAATCGCCGAAACAACGAAATACAAATGAACAAAACAGAAAGTCAACAAAACAATTAGTCATGATAAGGGTTCGGATTTGATGAATGAATGAGTGAATTACTGTATACATTAAGTGTAAAAACTCCGCATTATTGGCATATTAAGTTATCCTTACGCTCTCTTCTCAAACGAACGTTCAGTTTGGTCGAATGTCTGTCTCTCTGATTGGCCATTCTTTCCGTAGAGTGTGTAAATGATTTGGTCGTCGCCTAAAGYCCCGTATGAAACTTCAGATATAATATGAACGGTGTAAAAATACTCCTTTTCATCTTAAAAGAAAAAAACAAACGTTGAATGTTAATATTAACATCTCGACAAATATTCGTATAACACCAGTCAAATTATTGCTTACCTAAAKGTTTGCCATCTGGTTCACTTTTTTCACTATCTTCACCGTTTTTTATCGGTGAAAGGCCAGGATCACCTTTATCTAAATGAAAGTAAACAGTGACTACAACAATTCAGATTTTTCGGGGAATATATAAGATTTTTAGTGAAAACCATGCATTGCGTACCTCTTGTCAAGAGACACGTGATCTCATTTTCAAGTACCCAAGCTTTATCCTCCAACCACTGATTACAAGGAAATTGTGCTTTTTCTCCTGAATTGGTGTTTTCTACTACGATCTTTGAAGTATTTTAAAGAAAATGTATCAGGTCTAAGACTGGTTTGATGTTATTATGCATGTTTTTTTTAAATGATAAAAGATGGTGATGATAAAGATGGTGATGATAATGTCGATGTTGATGTTGATGTTGGTCAAAAACGATGACCTAAATCCATATCTACTGAAATTTATTGATATCTGCAAAGGTTTCACATCATTGAAGATATCAATGCAAATAAGACTAATTCAACATAAYGTACCTCTATTATGTACCAACCAGGAAATATGCCGCTGTTGTCGTGTCCAACAAGAAGCTTTGTTAAATTTTGCAGAGGAATTCTCGACCCGATCGGAAAAGAATTTTTCCTGAATGTGATTTTAAGGTAGAATTAAAAAGTTTCTCTGAAATTACTCTATAATATGCTATGCGGTGTTTATGAAGAGCAAGGTAGACTAAGTGCGGCGTCGAACCTGATTTGATTCGCTCTACGGCTACTRGCATATATTTCTATAATTTATCTGCATTGCATTGAGGTTTTTCTGTAGGTACGCTAGTTTGGACATTTGTTATCAAGCGAGARAAATTCATGAAATAAATCCAGTATTTATCTCATACCACTTACATTCCTTTTTCGAATAACGAATTTCCAGCCTTGTTTTCGAATTTAAACTCTTCTTTCGTTTCATCTTCCCCATACAAAGTTACAAAAACATTAGCGTTTGTCCCTGCGAATGCCATTGAGCCGGTATGGAATGTCATGGTGTACTTGTAGACTATGATTGGAAACAAAAGACGATTTTGAATAAGTGTTGTCTCAATTACTAGAARCATAGACTCGTCTTTACAAAATATTATTATACTATAATTGTAGCATTAAAACAAAGTCAAATTTTACTAACTAATGATGTCTTCTGTCTCCTCAACCTTTTCTTCAGCTTCATCGTCTTCAATGGGCGGTGGTTCCTCAAACGTCTCTAGTTCTATTTAAGATAGACAAACATTGGTATATATACTTTGCTCCAGCAGTAGAAAAGAAAAAAGTTCAAGTTCGAATGTGGTGCATTAGTTGAAGGTTAATCAAGGCAACCCCAAAAAGAGGACCAAATTATGTTGACACTCTTAGCTTCCTTGATGTCGGATGGGAAAGCTCGGAGAGGTCATATGGCTTCCTGTCTATGGGCGAGTAATTAATGTTCAAACTGTTTAACCTGACCATAGCTTTAATATATTTGTAGCAAAAAACGAAGTCAACTCACTGATTTCTTGTGGCTCCTCAACACTTTCTTCGACCTCATCGTCTTCAAATAGTGGAGGTTCCTCRAAGGTCTCCAAATTTGCTTTGAGTTCTAGTCAGAATGTACAAACATTGGTATAGATCGTTTCAGGAAAATGAAAAGTTCAAATAACAATGAATRAATTGTATTGATGATTCACTTATTCAAATATTGAACAAAAATGAATGTATTTACCAATCTCTTGTTCTTCAACGATGATATTTTGCTCTTGGAACCTTTGCACTATAATGTTATTCATAAAAATATATCTTAATAGGCCTTTTCTGAGATAGCAGTTTGCATTGCATTGTGTTCTAGATTCAGTTAAAACACCTTTTGTTCATGCTGCCAAATATGGCGTTGTTTGTGCTGAAGCTAGACCACAATGCACTATGATTTTGTATTTCAGAAAAGGTCTATGACAACTGTGGATGAGTGAGCTGAATACCCATAGTTCCATAGGGTCGTGCATGATTTATTTTCACCTAGAACCTTTATTTAACGAAAGCGTTGTAGTTCTTCTCACCTGCAGCTGTTTCCATAGACACGCCTGATCTTCKAACATCTCGTCTTATTCTACGATCACCAGTGCCCGTATCAAACCACTTATAGCAATCGAACTCAGATACCTCTCCGGTTTTAGCATCCAGTACTTCTACCTATTGATATATAAATTCACTTCAATTCTCCTCGGAATCAAATACAGCGAAACCCCAGATACGTCTACCATTTAGGCACTCCTTGCTATGTTCGTAATCCAACATGGAGGTGATGGTGTAACGTAAACACCAAGAATTCAAGATGGATATCAATATTGTGAACATTTCCATTTACCCTTTCCAGGAACCAACCAGGATTTAAGCCAGTATTATCATGTCCAACACGTACTTTGGTCAGATTTCCCAAGGAACGTTTTGTATTAACTGAGAAGGAGTTCTTCCTAAAATTCACAAAGAATGCTAAAATGAATATCCATGAAGACCAGGAAATCTTCCATCTCTCCGTTCCTTGCCTCTTTCCGCTCCTTCTATATTCTATTACTTACATTCCACTTTCAAAAGTCCTGCGGCCTTCATTTTCGAATGTGAAAGTCTCCGATTCTCCGTCAGTGCCATGTATCGTAAGGTATATATTTGCATTTGTACCAGCCCAGGACTGTTTTCCCGTGAAGAAGGCAACTCTATAAGTATGCATTGCGGTGTGCTGCGATATAAAAAATGGCCAGAATAACAACATAATGAATAGAGTTTCTTTGTAAACATTCATTATGTTCTAAAAATAAATGAGTCCTCTGCGTTTACTAGTGATATTTTTAATACCGAGCTTTCGGCCTAAGCGGCCATTATCAAGGTAGAGTACACGTAAGATTTTAGATTTTAAATTTTCCCCGCGCGCTTTCCGTTTTTTGCGTTGTTTAAAATCTTACGTGTACTCTACCTTGATAATGGYCGCTTAGGCCGAAAGCTCGGTATTAAAAACATCACTAGTAAACGCAGAGGACTCATTTATTTTTAGAACATAATGAATGTTTACATCGAGCAATAACTATCCATAACGAGGTATAATGCTTTATGTTATAATTCTTTAAAGTTGCTGCGTCCCCGTCCGCGTATCTGGACTGGAACTAGCCAGTTTTTTGTTAGCGTCACCGATGTAGCTTAGAAGGGATACAAGTTTAAGTCTCTCTATTCGTTTATTACTTATATTCTTAATCGATTGATAATTTGTTAATCTTTATATTATTTATATAGCTTTGAACCTCGACCGTACGATAATTAAGTCACGAAAAACGTTATGAATCGTGTTGTAAGTTCCTGATAAGTGTTTCAAACGATCATCTGCAAGCTACAAATATTATGACCTGCGCTGATGACGAGTTGTAACGCCTTCATTCTTATGACGAGTAATAACTCTTAGATATTGTGATATCTCTTTATAACGAGTTATAACGCTTGGATATGACTTGTGACATGTCTTAACAACTTTTTATGACGAGTAATATATAACTTRTTATGAAGAGTCATAATTCTTGTATTATTGATAGTGCCAGGTGGCCTGACGTTTCACGTTCGAATTTGGAGTAGGAATAATATATAGGAACAAATTCTAGTCGTTTTGAGTGATTCAGTCCACCAAATAAATATGCTATGACGTCATTGTGACGTAGGTCTATTGAATAATAATTAATGTTATCTAAAAACAAAATCAAAATAACTAATGATTACTTGCCAAAGAGAACTTCTAATGCTGGACGTAACGGACACGCTATTGAATGTTTTAACATTCAAAACAATCTATTCAAAAGCAAAGTTAAAATTTTACCAAAAAATATCGCAAGACAGGAGCGGGCGCACGAAAACCCCACAATGAATAGCGACGGACGTGCGCGCAATAATCCATACCAATTCAGATCACGGCACAGCAACYGTTTTCCAATTTTTATCCTGTGCTAACTCCATACAAACTAGCTCTACAGTTAAAAAATGTAATGGCTTTCTAAATTACTAGTTTTTTAAAGCCATTCCTGTCCTCATGAAAAGACATGTATTGCTTTCCTAAAAAAGTGCAAGTTGTGTAAAAACTTAATACAAAGCAAATTGTTTCACGAAAAAAAATTGCACGTATATAACGATATTAAATCCTGTGGAATATGGGTTAAACTGTATCTCACCCCCTTATGTTTCTGACTTTCTATACAACCTCTTACCCCTAATGTTGTGCTCCTTAGATTTAAGGTCTGCAAGCAGCTGCATGCATCGTACAATTACTGCGAGCGATTGTTGAATTCAAAGTCTATTTCTTGTTCCGCTTGTGCTCAGGAGCAGAATGCATAACATCGAGCTTATATCTGGCTTCGCGGAAAATATATTATTTTGAAATTATAAGCTGGAAATAATCTCACACGAGAGATGTATGGTAGTACATGAGTATGGCATAAAGAGCGATGCTTAATAATTTTTGTACTGGCAAGAGATTCATTGTTCAATAGTTTTGTTTATATATATTTGGGTTAATTGTGATACATGGCTTTCATTCTTTGCACTTAGGATATCAGGCATGATAGGTTTTCGACCCTGAGGCGAGCTATATCTAAATAGAGTTATATATGAATTCGTATTGAATAATGCACTGAATGGATGAATGAATAATTGAAAGAATGGATGAATTGATCTGTAAATGAATGAATGAATGAATGAACGCTTGAACGAATTTTTGAATATTAGGTAAACCAGCCTGCTGTCTTGAAAGACTTTTGAGTCTAAATGGCGGAAAGGTAAATCACTCGCCTGACGACTCGTGATTTACTAATCTTTTCTGGTGTTCTCCCAACCATCTCTCGCGGTTTATTACGCCAGTAAATCGCTTCAAGCTATCGTTTATTGCTTAAATAAAAGAATGCAAGAGATTTTTTTAATTTTCTCGAAAATTGGTAGATTTCACGGAAATCACGAGACGTACCGAGGAGTGAGATACGGCCAAAAATCAKGAGATTCTGTTGGACCCGTTTCCTCCAATTTTATATCTATTCGTTCATCCATGCGCTCAGAAAGAATCTTCTGAGAATAGAAAAAAGGAATGCATTTATCGATGTTAGTTAAATATTCATTTGATTCGATTTTCGGTGAAATAAACCATAGCTTTTCTCATGAAATCCGCCAATCAGCGCGCGTGTTAGAATTGAGCTATAATATAAAAGTTACAAATACCGATAAATGGGAAATTATATCAAATGTGAATGGTCTGCGATGATTTTTTGGGGGGTTCGGCATTATTCGCAGCACAAAAACAAAATGGCGGATTTATTGATGAGATAGCCCTGTAACGTGACGTGCCCCCTTCCTTCAAATGTTTTGAAACTTTTTGTCACAATATTTAAATAATAAATAAAATATTTTGGAAACAGGATATTCAGTATTTGCAAAAATATACACCAAGACCAATAAAAACGTTCAATTAACATATTTATTCAATTTCCGTAGCACCTAATTCTCTGCATATACTAGAGCAATAATAAACACATAGAATTGAAACCAACACGGAGTTGTATTCGTAATGTCAACGGAGATTTTTTTTACGTAAGGGAAAAGGGGAGTTATATTGAGTAGTCAATTCTCGTGAACTCTCAGACACCTTGGGGACAGTAATCAAGTGTCCGCAATAACGAGTGACCGCTGTAACGAGAGTACAGTCAACTCTCGTTATAACGGACACCTCTGGGACAATAATTAAGAGTCCGTAATAGAGAGTGTCCGCTGTAAAGGGAGTTATTTTCAGTACAGTTTGCTCTCGTTATAACGGACACAGTGTCAACAAACGTCCGCCGTAAATGGAGTTTTCTTGAACGTGTGTCCGTAACTGCGTCTGCCATCAACATCCTGCATTCAAAATTATCATTCGCCATTTACAGAGCAGCAAATCTGGGTGCGTTTTATTTTAACGCACCCAACTTGTATATTTGGTTCTATTTTATCGACAAAAGCCCTTTTCCCTTATCCAAACTGTATAACAGTGACGTCCAGTAAACGAGATCGTAAATAAACAATTAAATACATTTTAATTATTTGAGAATAATGCTATTCAGATTCCCCTGTACATCGTAGATTGTTTCTATAGCAACAGTAGTAGACGTCTGCGCATGCTCAAGTCCCTAGACAGACATGTACCCAGTTTCAAGAAATGCATCGTACAATTTGAGCCTTGCGGGGGTGGGAGTTGGGGGATTGCAAACATCCACACCAAGCCCTTGACAAGGACCTAATACTAAGTCTTGAACACAAGTACGGAAGTTTACTTTAAAATTCTAGTGCGCATGCCCAAACGTGTTATGCAATGGTCAATGCCAACTACGGTGACGTCATCAAATCCGTTATCACATGTCAAATTGACACGTGATCTACTATATGCCTCGTAAGGTTTTATGAACTTATTTGAGGTTTAATCTACGATTTCTAAGTGGCTTTACTTTACAGACATGCGTCGAGGTTTTAGTTTTTAGTTATCGTTATATCTATATTATCTAACCGACGCTAGTGATTACGTTGGGAAACTGGTACTAGTTCCAGTTCTCCTCTATGAAGGAGATTAAAATAATCTAGTTTAAAATAAATCAATAAAACGTAGTCTCGTAATAAGACCCTTTTCGCTCCTATTTGTTGAATGAGAAGGGCCTGCGTACGAGAATAAAAAAAGCAGATAAAACTCCTTAGCTGTACAAGCACGGCATCTAATGAAAGGAACTGGGCCCAAACTCTTGCTCAGTCTCTCTCGCTATGAAAAGCTTGTGTTATTATCTTTAAAAAAATAGACTAAGACTAGTTCTTGAGTTTCTCAGAGAGATGGCATCACATCCGATACGACAAGATCACGTGATGTTGCCTTTGATAACGTCACATCCGGAAAAACAAGATCAGGTGATGGTAGTTTGGACACACTGCCTTACGTTTTCAGGCAAAACCTTGTAAGATGGATCTATGTGATTGGTTCCTATTCCATGATGTCATCAACGCTACGGCTTTGCTTATATCGTCTGAACTTCTCGGGGCTGTCGCTGTCGCTTGTGTGATAGCTAGCTTCGCTGACTTTTCGCTCCTTCTCCTGCCGCGATTCGAGCTCCGCGTGATGTTTTCGATAGTATCTTTTCATCATTCGCATCTGATCGAGCGCGTTCTCTGCCAGGTAACTATTTTTGACAAATTGAGGCGCGGTGCCTCGTAAGTCGATTTGATTKATGATRGTCACTTCAGAAGACTCGAGCCCATCGTTGACCCCACGGATGATCATGCCAGACGTAAACACTTCGGCTCTGGAAAGGGATTGGTAGGTCAGTTAAGAAGAAGTTCGATTGCTAGTTAATAGCCTCCTTCACGGTTCCCTGCGCCATCTTGAAAGGTAGCCGTGCCTTTGCATCGAAGCGAGACGACCGTTGAGCGTGCAATGATAGAAACCTTCTTTCACACCTACAGACAATTCTTCACAGGTTTCTATCATAGCACGCTCAACGGTTGTCTCGCTTCGATGTAAAGGTACGGCTACGTTTTACGGCTACCTTTCAAGATGGCGCAGGGAACCGTGAAGGAGACTATTGTCGATTGAAATCACGAAACTAACCAGYATCACTATCATATTAATTTTGGTATCGACGATCGCTACAACCATCATTTTACCACAACAAAATAATCGTTAGAAAGTATAACAACGTCATTTAGGGAGATGTTTAGCGCATATGAAAACTTCGAGGACTACAACTCCCATCATGCTTTGCTACACAAAATGGCGTCGTTGTTTGTATTATTTTCATAATAATCTTTATTATTACTGTACCTGATGTTGTTGGGCTGCACCACGGGAACGCTGGGATGTAAGATACTACACATGGCTTGGATGTGGCGATTCTGATCGTGGTCCCGACGCTGGATACTCGCTAAAATCATTTCTCTGTTTTTACATAGCGAGGGCATTATGCATGAGCTGTAAGTTCCAAAACAAATTGACAGTTATGATAAAATCAGTATTTAAAACATTCTAAAATTCTCGCATGGACTTTCAATAAAATCACAGAAAGACAGAAGCATCGCTTAATTGAGGGTGGTCGTACAAAAGAGGGTGGTCGCATATTAAAGGTTCGGCTTACCAATAAAGTACTTGGAATTGACCATGTTTTTCTAATACATCAATACAAGCGAACGTCTTGTCCCATTTCYGTCTTAGTTCCAAGTCGGTCAAATACTGCACAGCTGAAAGACAGTCACATACCAAACGTCAATCAATATCACAGTGATTTTTCGTTTTGATACAACTGGTCGTGCGCAGGGAACAGTGAAGATGAATATTGCATAAATTACCTGCCATGTACGGGATTCCTTCAAGATGCGAAACAGTCTACGAAATAAAGAGAATATTACATTATTTTATTGACTTGAATCGTTTCTATAACTATGCCTGAGTTTTCATCATAATCACACTTTATAACGTCTTGTTCCTGGATCGCCTCCTTGCTCCCAACAGAGCAAGCTACTTAGGGTGAATTAATTCTTATGCTTTTCGACATGATTTCATCAACATCATCATCATCAGTCTCACCACCATCATCATTAGCCTGCGTAGCGGCTCTAGGGCAGGGAGGGGGATTGGGGGAGGAAGGGGGAAAAACAAGAGGCTCTTGTTTTCATCCCCTTCCTCCCCCGATACCCCTCCCCTTCCGTTCCCTCCCTTCCCCTAGAACAGCTACTCAGTCTACATCATCATCATAATTATCAACATAATCATCATAATCAACATAATCATCATCATCTTTATCATCATCATCATCATTATCATTTCATGACAGTTAATCCGATAACCAGTCATCATTTTAATCACCGTTCGCATAGACTTTAGTACCTTTGTAATAGAAGGAGTGTTGGGTGASGTTGACTCCCGTCGCCATACATCACCATCCTTGGATTTCTTGATTTTGTTCCAGTTATCGGAATGTTCACTTTCTAGCGATAACAGTTTTTCGATTTCTGAACTGTGAATTGGRTTATAGGAGACGTAGGGTTGAGGTTCATGGCGTAACGTGCCATGGACAGACGGACAACCTGATGGCACAATAAATACAACATTAAAAGAACGTYCCGATCCATGTGGGATTATCAAGGTTACGAGAATGCGCATTGGCAGTGCATTAACATCAAAATAATACCATCCTTCGATGTATAGTTTTACTTCCGAGTGATACATCTACAGTAATTGAAAAAACGTAGTCGTGTTCGAAAAGGTCACATCATAGAAGCTAAGACCGAAAGGGATTTTGAGTACCACTAAATTGGGATTACATTTGCATATACGGTGTGCACTAAGCAAGTAGAGCTAGTAAGATTAACAGCATGATAGTCTTTTATGCTGGAGAGCTGTTTGTTATGAAATTAGCCAAATTGTTTGTCTTCCCAGGTACCCTTTCGGTCTTAGCTTCCATGATTTGACCTTTTTGGACCCGACAACGTTTCCTCAATTAGGTGTATGTACCAAGGAAGAATGATTTGCCAGATACGCAACTGACTGATTTAAAAAGTTGACGTTTCCGTATCGGCGCGTAAGGGAGATCACGTAGTAGGAATGAACACTGAATAGAAAAGCATTTGTGCTACGATCAGCATTAAATTACGTTTTCCGGTACTTTTCCGAACGTAACATAACATTTCATAACGTGCCATTTCCGGACGTAACGTAACGTCGCGTAGTGAGTGAGACGAAGTAAGCAAAAACGGAAAAAAATCGTACGCAGGTGGTTTGGTATGATCGGCATTAAATCGGTGCGACGTTATCACGATAAGAAAGCTTTTCTATTGGAWCGTAGCGAGTAGTTTGAATGCCAACGTAAGGGGATGATGAAGCCAAACTTAATCTGAAGTATGTGTTAACTGCATAAACTAGCATTTCTTACTTTTACGCGACGTTATCTGAGCTCAACATACGTAACCGCAATGGTATTTTATGACAGAAGCATACCAGTACTTATAATAAATACTTTAATATGCTATCCCCATGAAAAAAAATCCTCATATATTTACRATGACAATTATAACAAAATATTCGTTCACCAGCCAGCCGTCAGATCGATTATTCCCGGTAGGGGGGAGGGGTGGGAACGGATGTACACAGGCTATCAGATCCAAGAGATGCAATTTAAATTTGTATGTCGTTTTAGAAAATTCGTACGTAMGTTAATCGTCGATAAAACGTAAGGCAAAAGACACATACAATTAAGAAATACTCTTATTTTCCGTTTTCTATAGCAGATATACCTTCATATTCTTAAAAACAAGAATGTGATAATAAAGTGTAAGGTTTATTCCATCACTGGACGCCAGATGTGTGGCATATGACAACAGATTTCGTGACGTTCGTTTTTTTTTTTACAAATTACGATTTGAGAATTTCAAGGCACGGAAACTACTGAGATGCTAACACGTTTGTAAATTTTATTCAAAATATTAATTTCAGCTGGCATGCAACCATTGAATGGCTTTTTGTTGATGCAATTGCCCCCGGAAGCCATTTGAATTGCCCACACGAGAAGCCATTTGAATGCCCACACGATTGCAGATTTTATTTCCACAATCGTGTTATCAATAAAAACAACCGCAAAGTATATGTATAACGGTTTTGAAAAACATCGATATTATGAAAGAAAACATAATGGCTCTTCGTGTCGAGTGATTAGTAGTAGATCACGCAACACTTAAATGGCTTTCAATGTCACATCAAACGCATTGGGAAGCCATTCAAATGCTTGCGAGTTTGCATAGCTCATTCATTCATATCAATAATAAATCCTTGGAGAAAATCTTATCAGCTCGCCCATAGGAGGGATAGTCTTATATTCTGACAAGGATGTTTATTTTCCCACGACTCTTGTTTGAGCCCTTGTCAACATTTGGCAATTTGTCCATTTGTGGACACCAGACATTAAAACGATCAACATCAGAAAACGTCTCWATCATTTTCACTTACAAAAATAACCAYTSATAGAAGGTCAGGAATATTTTYGTGTGGCCGGAACATGTAAATGGTGAAAGGAAAATTCGTTTCTAGTCTGATCGTTTCGAAAGCGTTTACGGATGAAGTCATAAATTGTACATTTGTCAGACACGATCAAGGGTAGCGTGACTTTTATCACGTTTGACGTGTCAATTTAGAACCTCACACGATCGCCAGAATACACATATTTTGTAAATTTACCAAGAAACAAATGACAAATTGCAGAGTTTTAGTAAAATCAGCCAAAAAATAAAAATACATGGAATATTACAAATGAAAAAGTATGTCGTTCTGAATTTAAAATCGACACCTTTTTGGAAACATCAATTTATTTATTTATTTTTGTTAGATATTATGTTATTGTTTTGGTAGGAAGATGTTTTGAGATAATTATCGTTTGGGGCCCAGGTCAAGGAGAAACAACCTCGAGACAACAATGTGGTGTGCAAAGTGTTTTCCTAGCAAGGAAAGGCCGCAAGTAAATGCCTTATCTGAAATGACAGAACAATGCTGCTTTTTAACCGATAAAGGAAATGCAAATAAACATTTTGAACAAAGTGTTTTAAGTTCCTAACCCCAATTTGGAACAACGAAATTAGACATGCCGAAAGAAATACAAATAGGCCGATCATTTTTTGTATCTCTCTGTAGACAATAATATTTCCATTGTTTGTTCGCATCGATTTAATTTAGCATGGTTAAATGCYTTTACTCTAACAATCATTATGAGTAAAAAATAAATGTATTAAGGTATTTTTAAAACGATTTTTGTGCTTAAATCATGTAGAAACGAAATAAGCAAATGAAGYTGCAAAGCAACAGGAAACTAATGCAAAAAAAAAAACCACACACATATATAAAACAATAGAACATTTTACAGAACACTTTATAGTTAAAAAGCTCCTTTTTACATCAATAAAAGTTAGACAAAAACAATAAAATATAGCATACAATTCTGTGAATTAGAAAAAATGACAGAGATATTTGGAACCAACCATAATAGCAACAGAAATWACCTAAAAACATCTCTTTGAAATACTTTAAACAAGCTGAGACGATATAATTATAAATTAAAAAAATATGTAATGCAACAGTACAAAAACATACTTTTTGAATGATAAATAAGCCCTGAAGGTCTTTTGAATATGTTAAAATGCACCCAGACAGACAATACCTTATATCAAAATTACCTAAACATCCTGGAGGCACATTTTATCTTATTAGCCTTTGTTTTAATGATATATGTTTATATTTTAAAAGAAATCCCTAATATTATGGGGGAAGATACAAAAGATTTAGAAAATTCCAGATGTTTCCTCATAGACTAGACCTTTGGCTTTCATTAAGAAGCTGATATCAGTCTTTTGTAACATGGCGATTGTAATTTGCTGTGTTTTACATTCATATCATTAGCAAGCATGCTATCAAGAATGTGAGTCCTATATAATTAGTCTATGACAAGAACATGCTCAAAACCCATATGGGTTGTCTGTTATACGGATAAAAGCACTTTGCATCTTGTCCRTGTCAATTGAATTGTCATTAATATGTTGTAAATGTAGGATAAGAAAATTAGACAAAACTGACCTTTGTCTAAACGTGATATTGTTTGAATTGATGTCTGTTGGAATATTGCACTTTTGAYTATATAGATGTAAATACTTGCTATTTGACTAATAACTGTAAACCTAAAATGTCTCTACCRCCACTCTTTTGACAATCAATCACACCTTGACTAGGTGGCTATTTCCGCTTGAATTCAAAACTATTGGAATTCAAAATTATAAAGTTTAATAGATACTTATTTTCAACGTAGTTTACCCTGGATACCAAAGGTTGTTAACAGTCTACCCTTAGTTTCAGTCTTTTATTCTCAAAATTAACTGCACTTGGCAGCATAAATAAACTAGAATAAAAATTGGTAAACTTCAACCTCTATCGGTACAAGTAGCTGTGTGTTCATCCTGTTTTTCCACAATTTGTCACACAAAAAGAAGATTTTGATGCCATGAAAATCCTGTTGTTGAAAATGAGTTTCCTGATGCTAAAATGAATTTGCTGCTGCTAAAAATAAATCTATTGTTGCAAAACTGAAATTGCGTGCTCTTGCTAAAATTTACTAAGTGGGGGAGGGCAAAGGAAAAGTTGAGYAACTGTGTTGTTACATAACTAGTCATCCACAATGCAAGAGATTTTAAGTTCATTTTTATTTGATCTATAATTGTTTTATTTATTCATTTTGTTTCAAAATTACCTAAAATTTAAACATTTTGAAAGCCTGAGTAAATATTCCAGCTAAAAGAACAAATATATTTATGCCTTATAATGGTCTTTTTATAAGCTTAGTTAATTTATAGAAATTTGACACTATTTTATTTGCAAATTACCATTTCAAAACGCAAACATTTCAGATTTTTTTCATTGCTCTAAGAGAAAACAAACATTACTTAGCTAATATCTATAAATTTAATGCAAATTGCCTGACATATAAATAATATATCTGCAATTTCAAAAATAATTTATTCAACTTATAGTAATATTATTTGACACTGGTTCAAAACAACACMTTTCTGATTAGGGAAAATATCTAGCATTTAATATAATAAGGATTAAAGTTTTACAGACTTATAGTTTTAAGAAACACATTTTATGAAATATTAGAAAAAAATATATAAGCACTGATGTAAAGTTTTCATTCTTAAAAATTATGTTATATGGTGAAAAATTATAGAAGGGAATATTATGATTGGATAAAAAAAGGAACACATGAAACGTTCTAGAAATTCTAATAACTATAAAAACTAGAAAGTAAAATATGTCTCAGTAACATGTACCAAGATATAAAATAAATTCTGAGTGACATAATATTTTCTAAACAGTAATAWATGATTTAACAGAATACATGTTTTGAACCTGGTAAACAAACTTTACAGTTTCCTAAAAACAGTATTTGTTTTTGTAATAAGTGTAGTCAGTCCAAAACCTGTTCAGAACTCCAGCTGTACCAAACAAAAGAATTTCCAAAGCTTAAAAGTTCATTAACATAAGCAGAAATGTGTGTCTCTTATAGACAAAAGTTAAATACCTGCCCCTTTGAAAAACATAAGCTAAATATTTTATCAAAGCCTAAATCCATGCCAATYTTCAAAACAATCAAGTGAACAGATCAAAATAAAGAGATTTAAGCATAAAAAGTTAAAATGGAGTCTTGGTAATTATCTTTATCAAGTTTCTATTGACAACATGGATTGTTTGGGGAGTGTTAAATGCCACTGTAGCAACACTTGTACTAACTCTTATCAAAAGCGTCTCTCAAAAGTGTCWTTATCTTTTGTTATCTACATGAAAACAATACACAAAAACTCAAAACAAAAACATAGTTAGCACCTGTTTTCATTTAWCAACACAATGTCTCTTTGGATAACAAAAGAAAGAATAAAGTGTGTTATTTTGATACAGTATCTTGTAGAAAATGTGTTCAAAGGCATAAAAAATATTGACCCTGAAGCTATAAACACTTACATCATAATAATAATATACATTTTGGTATTGAACAACACTAATTGGATTTACTGTTGTTTTTCCTAAGATAGGAAGGAAGAGTGTCTATTTTGATAGTACAATGTAGGTACAGTGTAGTAGAGTGTACAAGTTATCTCGATAGCACAAAACCAAATTCAGAATATTTTTCACACAAAACACTAATTGTATCTTGTTTTTGTCTGAGGAAAGGATCAAGTACATGGCTGTGAATAGAAGTTTGAGATGCATCAGAGAAAAGACGAACAAAACAAAGCCCAGAGAACAAAGACACTCAAATCTAGGAACCATAGAGTTAATTAGTTGACCTTCATTAGACATCAGTTTTGCTGCCATTGTAAATGCCTAAGCGATTGACACAGGGCTCAGAAAACAGCTTGCATGCAAACTTATTACACCATGGTCACTGCTATAATGTGTCGCACTACGAAAAATTTCGATAATCAATTATAGCATATATCAATCTCATAAAGCTTGATGTCAACAGAAAATATATTGTTCAAATACTCTAAGATATGCGAACCCTAATATTTTGTCATGTGTTGCTTGTGCAAACATTAAATCTGTCAAATGCTTATCAGAACTTTGTACGAGAACCCCAGTGTCTAGGAATATAACTTTGAACAATGGATGACTTAATTCTGCTTGTAAAAGATTTCTACACAACATCACAATATAATTTTGCTTTCATTAAAATATAGAGAAACACCGCCGCCAGCATATCCAATCAATTTGTTATTTCATATTTTGTCGAGAAACTGCAACAGATAAGTGGAAACTGATCTGAACAATTTAYGATAAAAATCTTTAAGGAAACACTCTTAATAATAATTATTGCTGTCATAGATTTAGCATGCATTTACTTTGTCACTCATTTTAGATAATCCTTGTTTGATTTGATAATAAWAATAATGATTATCGTAATCCTGTTTCCTGGTTGCCATGTAACAAAATATGTCCAGACACAGCAATTACGTCTAGTTAGAATCATGGACAATAACTACCTAATATCAAAGTACATCATGAYGGTTTAACTTCACTTTTGTTTACAATTCATTTAGGAAAGCTTTCCACCTTCTTGCAGGCCTCTGATCACATTTTATTTTTAAAAAAAATGAGTGAAGCATAGATGAGACCTCTGCAATAACATGTGATAAAACTGTGGAATTCAGCTAATTAAAGCATTAATATTTCGACAATATAATGAGTTAAGCTTTGCTCAAATAAAGTTTGTGGAATGATAATAATTCGCTAATATTCATTGAAGTGAATTGTCGTTAAATGATCTAAGAAATTGCTAATATACGTATATTAAATCCAGTGTCCTTGAAGTARCACATGTCACCAGTTTGATGCAGGTTAAGGTCATAGAAGTATATATTTATAAGCTTTAAATAACAATCCTAACACCTTTTGTACCAAGACCCACAGAAAAACAATATAAACTTAAATCTAGGGATTAACTTCTCATTATTAACCATAATTAAAATTGTGAATATATAAGGAAGTTTGGATGCAGGTTTTAGCACCTACATCTTTAAAAGGTATAAGTAATTGATTGTATTGCACAAAAAGAATAACTTCGTAACAATTTTTGTTTCAATTTGACCACAAGTACTCAGGTTAAGTTTTGAGGGTCAATATACCCAGATGGGTGTGTGTAAAAATTCATTTTATATATTCATTTATGTAAACACAAGTATCTGGTTTACATTCAMGATCACYWCARCACAGAAAACAGGGACAATTGTTGAAGTCTTTGTTCTCTTTTATCACCGAAAACAATAATTTCCACATGGACGTTGCCATATTGTGTATATARACCAAACGATTAGGGTGAAATGGTGCTTTTAGCAGAGCAACACCTACATTGTAGGTTAAACAATTTAGCAAATTATTGTCAACTTCAGTCTCATTTACTGGGAATGAAGAGAAATAYAGAGGCCATGTTGAAATTGTGATCTATGCATTTTTGACGCGTTGAAAGAGTAAAATGGAGTAGGTCAAAGATATTGTACACAATAAGCTGATAAGACGATGCCTCCTGGAGCTCTTAGAATCGATAAATCTACAATACAAGTTACTATTTTGCAAATAAATGTGAAATTGAGTAGCACTGTTTCGCGGCGATAGATTTAAGAGCTTTTCTAACGCTCGAGGTGAAAATTAATTCGAGAAATTTTATTTGCTTTAGAATTTGAAGTCTATACAACAGAATCAAATGTAATTGCGATCAAAAACCATCCTAAACTCAATTAAAACCGGATATTCCTGTTTTAGTTYAAGCGTGGAAACTGCAACATATTTTGAACCTGTCTAAAATAGGAGTAGATGACAGTTAAATAAGGTTTTCGACGAAGGAATAAATTTTCTTCTTCGGTACACAGTCGCGTTGTGTGCCAAAATGGATGTCTGAATCATTTCATTTCTAAACGATCGGTAAAATTGTTGACACAAAAGTCAAAAGTAATGCTAACTGCTTTCATGAACTAAGGATTTCGTKTTATTTACATTGAATGACCCAAAAGACTCATTTTAAATAACTAAATTGCTTCGAGACTGCAACTCCACACACGCCTTACAAAACAACGCTTGCAAAATGGCGATAATTCGGTCAACCATTTCGAGTAGCCAAACCACGGAGTGGTATTCAAGCTGTTCAATTCTGAAGAAGTTATCGCCTATGTTATTGTGTATTTTGCTGTTCCAACTTGTGTTGAAAGATGTGGTTGTATAAAGTGCAAGCCATTTATGCAAATCACTAAGATACATTTAAGATGAACTTGGTGTGTGCACACAGAGCCTCAAATACAAAGAAACCACATCCATCAACTAACAAGAACAGAAATCAAGAGCAAAAATCTCCATTTCACTTTCGTCTGTCTAAATTTAGTCTTTGAGAGAAATCAGATACCTTGAACMAACTTAAAACGATTATAGAAAAATCGTTAGAGCCGATCGAATCGGCCCCAGTTGAGACAGTTCATAGTCTTCCAACTGAGAAACATTGAACCCTTCGAAAACARCTACTATTTCAGTCAAATCGTCTAGAAATTTCACAAATAGGAAGCTAAACTACTTACTTTTAGATTTTCGTATTGGCCACGTGCTGTAGTTGGCATTATTAGCCATTTTTTCCCGCTAAACTTTACGTTCTACCAAGAAAGTACTCCAGATAGTCGTTCAGTACTTGTGCGCCTGATTCAAATCTTGCATGGATTTACGACGATGACGTCATCTATAAATCAGCAGCGGGGTCACGCAACACGTTACGCAAGGACCGTGACGTAAAAGGACTTTGACTGTCGTAACGTGAATGACAATATAGGAAAAATATGACTCATTTGATAAATATAGGATTTCCGAAAGGAAACAGCAAATAAAAATGTATGTCGTCACATWTTTTTTCAAATTTACGCTATGACGAGAAAMATTTCAATGCCAAATAAAGCTAAAGAGATTGTTCGCCAAATAAGTACTCGAATATTCCAAAAATTCATTTTCAAGCGATGAATGAATAATAAAGCCAAATTATCACTAAGTCTGCGGCAATTCCGCTGTTTTGAATTGCGGGGAGAAAATATTCAAATATGAAACACCAATGTTCAAAAGGTGGGCGAAAGTGAGAGAAAATCTCTCGATTTGCCCCGGCCGTAAATTTCATTTTTTTTTTTCTTTTGGCACGATAATTGCAGTGTTTTTAATAATACAATACCAAATACCTATGGGTGGTTGATTAAAATAAACCAAATTAAGAAAAGTGAAAAAATACATTGTTTAYGTCAAGTAAAACGGTGAAAATAAATTTTGGAAATGAATTGGGAGAAATTTAAATGAATGGAAAAATAAAATCCACCATTCAGATTCGCATTGCCTATTTTTTAAAAAGAGAAATATATCATTCTTCGAAATTAAAATCATATCAATGAATGCCTGAATGGCATAAATCTAAGACCAATTAACACTCATCTCCGATCAAAAATGTAAGCACCGACCAGTCGAGTGCGCCGGCAGATTGAATTATCCAATTATTTTTTACTGGCCAATTRYCTAAAAAAGCCCTYAAGCAAGAAGCYCACAATATGTATTGTCATTGTACTCATTTTCCCGGCGCAAAATCTGCTCGCTCAATAGTGCCTTAGATCACTCAAGTGCCCAAGCCATTGTTGGGCTTGGTCAAAAGTATACAAAATTATGTTTTGWATTTTTCTCTAATGTAAATTGGAATCGCTGCTGGGTATCTCACCTTTTTTCATTGTCAGGTTGGCCAATATTTCAACCGATTGTGGCGTCTTCAATGCTTTAAAGACACTAAAAGTCTCATTTTTCACAGCACGCRAAATCTGCGCGAACTGGATTYTTTTTCAGACACACTACTAAATGATGCATAAGCTTTTAGTTTTAGTTTTATAGCTATATCTAAAGTCAATTCTGATTCGCGTTGTCTGTTTGTAACAATAATACTTTTATTAGATTTGCTATCGAGTTATATTTAATCATTATATGTTGTTGCACTTATCARGCGATGTTTTCATTCGGGGTTCTTGCCGCATCATGTTTTTCAAGCTGATTTACGAACGATAATGTTAACCGCAGCAGAAAGGTTGATAATATAAATGGGGTTGAAAAGAAAAAAACTGTAGAACAAAACAACAACTGCGAAAGGAAAGTGCGAGAATACTCGAAATGGAATGAGCTAGCGCTAAATATGAACGATTGAAAGTACTGAGAGAAGAATGAATGAATGATTGATTGAACAAAAGGATGGATGGATGAAGTTTGACTGCATAAGTCTAAAGGGATTTGTGTTATGTAAGTAATGAACGAAAACAAGAAATACACTGACGAATGGATGTATAAATTATTAAAAGGCTCGACTTTTTAATGACTTATACTCAAAGTTATCAATATTAATATGCGAAAAACTAACTATTATCAAATTAATGAAYAATTTGATAAATATACCGAAGAGAAGAATTCGGATTAATCGAAAACAAAGACGTTCGCTTAAGTTCAAACTGCAAAATACAGAGAGAATTTCTATTGTCGACAGAACACCATCACACCCGAKAGCTCACCGCATTTATTTTATGCGCAACGAAGATATCAAATTTTAACATTAAAAAAACTCAACAATATGTTTTCATGGTTATCTTTGGGGATGCAAGCAGCATGCACGCTTTATTCGTGGTCCTGTCATTCATYAATTTTCGATGTGACTTATAGCTATCGTGAGCCAATCAAAAATATTGAACAAGTGTTCAAAAATGTCACGAAAAATCACAAAACATTGATTTAATATGGGCGGGGTCGGTCACGAAAGGTTCAATTGATTTGGGTCTGTCACAAGGTGTATAAGGCCCCACCCTGTTTCAGACAATACGTCACAGTTATTATATTAGCGCAGTTGGGTGTTTGTCTGCTATTGCGTGCTTTACTAMTAAATATTTACTTCGTAATCTTGTGACCGGAAACTTTCATTGTTTTCGTAAGAGTGTGGTTTTTGAGCTGAATTGAAAGTTATGACTAACTTTTTCATAATAAATACAAGACTTTTTCTTGAATACAATTATATTCAAATGGTACATTAGTTTGCTTATGAAATACTTTTAATCATTTTGCCTTTTTTTTCTGAACAAAAATGTTAAGTTCATTTAAAAATCGGTCTTCCTGTGTCGATATAATACAGATAACCCAAAGCAGACAGCTCTTGAAAAAAAAAAATTGTATTATTGAATAAGTTATAGCTAATATTAAATAATGCAGAAGTCTAAAAATTGTACAAGACTTTTCACCATTTCATGGTTGTTTAAATAAACACATTGGGTCAGAAATTTGTRGCTTCGATTTGAGAAGGATCTCTTGCATGACTTCCATATAAGGCTGTACATGTGCAAGGCCATTGAGATACACACAGAAGGCCTCTCATGCGTATACGTACTATGCGGAGAAGAACTTAGACTTTTTTCAAAGAAATTCTTTTAAGGAAGAGCATTAGGATTTGATGCGCTACAGTATTGCCTAGTCCTATATTTTCCCTAAACCATCCTAACCATCAAGCCATGTTCAATTCGCTTGAGTGAACCTGAATTTTTTGTTGTATTTATCCAAATGGCATGCATGAATAACCACGTATTTGTACATAAGATTGAATATATAATTAATGAACCTTCTATAGGGACATGAGAGACTTCTATATGTACATCAGGGCCATGTATAGGGACAACAATACAATGTATATGGAAGTTATACGACAGACTCTACTCTCCTTATCYCTAATAAATACTAACTAAATGGAGTTCCTGTGTCACATCAATTAGAGAGAGTCTGGTAATATCATGTGACTTGGTGTGATGTCATTGTCCTCTCCTGAGGGAAAGAGAATGAATGAATATCAACAAATGAAAAAAATAGTATGCACTACTATTACCAAAATGTTTATAGTATTAAAATGCAATCTYATATTATTTGTGCTGTAGCTATTACACAAAGAATTTCGATACTTACTCAAACAAAACTCTGTTTACATATTGATTACGGAAAATTCCATCAGGATCCAACTTCTTGCACAATTCACGCACTTCAAAAAACTTTGGATACAACTTCTCGAAATTTGAAGCACTGAAATTATGTGCCTGGGAAAAATTAAAGGTAATGCATTTTTACATGATATTATTTAAAAAAAGTGGATGGAAGAAAATGAAAACAGAAAAATGAATGGATAGATGGATGAAACAATGAATGGAAAATCACTGATTAGATAGCCTACCTTGGCCCAATGAGGTACCCCACCAACTGAGGTAATAAGCTCTTCATAGTAGTTCCACCACTCTTCACGCTGAACATCTTTGCCGTAAGGTCTGAAATATGTAACACACATTCAATATGAAAAACATAGAACCACACTTATTTTCCGCAGCTAAGGGTTTTTGAGTCTGATCTTAATATAAAAGATGGACATTCAAGAAGACAAACACTTGAAATAG